AGTCAGTGATAACTTGAAAGTAGACAGAGAATATCCATTTGGTGAAAAACACGTGTTTTGTAATTCTGATGAACATTAATGTTTTCAAAACTTTAAATAATTATAAAGTAATAGTCTCAGAAGCTTCAAACTTACAGCAGTCAATATATAATACTTGTGGGAATATGTAGCTAATAAAAATAATCAGACCAGAGTTCTTAATAGCAGCAGTCGAACTATCCACAAGCTATTTTTGTACATAAATCACAATTTCATTCTACAAAACCTTCCAGCACAAAGAAACATACCAGCAGCACAGACATATTTTGGCTTGTGAAGGAATGTGAAGTTTTAATGCAAAATTATTTTCACCTTGATTTTTAGATTTGGCATTCTCTGCCAGCAGCTGTAGTAGGACAACAAAAGAACAACAATAATGATGATGATGATGAGAAGGAATGGTTGGCAGAGGAAGTAGAATTAATGGCCCCTATGGAATGTGTTTTCTTACATGGAATAACAAAAGTCAAGGGTCTATTAGCATTAGGATATTCTCAGCACAGGCCCTGTATTTGGTCTGCACGTTAAGCAAAACATTGAGCAAGGGAGACTGGTGCAACTGTCAACTATGAAAGAAGTATGTGTTTATAACTGTCAACATCGTAACAAACATATTGATGGCAATGATGATGGTATAAAAGTTTAAAGGGTTTAGAAGAAGACAGGCATCCATTAAGATTGCACTGCTGCAGAATCAGCAGCCCTTGATAACAATCTGGTTCATGGGGATTGCGTTAACAGAATACATGGATCAGGTGTTAATTCCCTGAAGCACAACCAATTGAACTTGCCCTCCTTGATCAGGCTGTTCTAAGAATTGAGAATGTTATTCAACTTCATTTTCTCAGAACAGTTCCAGGCACTCATCTTAAGAAAGTATTCTATTTAAATAATATATCCCAAGTAAATGTATGTGTTTTGACAAAACGCTTTCTAGATTATTTATTAAATATAGATGTTATGTTATGCCAAGGACCACAACTCTCTGATTAATTACACAATGGTGGCGGGGACCTCAGCAGCCAGCCACTATTTTTAGTAGCTGAACTATAAATTGATCTATGGCCACCACCACAGCATTCCCAAATTCATCAAAATTATTTAAAGCCTTCTTGAAAAGCAATAATCCTAGCTGTGATAAAGCTTTTTAATGTTTCTCCTTCATTCTGAACCAGGGAGTGAGTGGAGAGGGGGCAGACAAGAGAACTTAAAATGCAGTTCCATTCTGCCACTTAATATATATTCATTTAAAATCAGATTTGCTTCAGAATCTTATTATTTAAAAGAAAATAAGGCAAACTAGTGTTTTCAGAAATGCACTGCTAGTCTAACTGGAATTGCATTCTTTATGTAGCAATTTATCTATGGAGAGCAAATGGAAAGCTTCAGACTCATATGACTGTCCACATCCCAACACTGTGTTGCGTCTTACACTCAAAAGTATTTTAAATGCGTAACCATTCAGTTTAAAAACAACAAAATGGTAGGTTATATTTTCTAGCATAGTTGTCACACAGATAAGGACTATTATTGTTCATCCTAAAGTGCTGAACTCTAGGGCAATAAGCATGTTCAGCAAAATTGTATGACACGAGTTCTACAATATTAAACTGCAAATTGGGGTGGGGGGTTAGCAAGGATTTGAGGAAAGAGGGGGGAACAAGATGCCATGCAGGCTGATGGTTAGACCAGCTGTGTGGAGGAGACAGAGAGATGGTGTTTTGGCTACCTTTGAATCCAATGCTATGCTGCTGTGGGGAGCAAGCCCCTCTTGAGATGTGATGCCTGGAACCCTCTTTCCAGATGGACTGAGGTGTAAATTTGTGTAAATAAACCATTATTTCATAAAGACACTACAGTCTCTGCTGTGCCGAGAGTCCTGGAATCTCACACTGCTCTGCAGAGATTGGGGCGGTCTGAAACATTCCAATAGACTGCAATGACCACTTCACATGCACTCGAAAAATCTGCTATTTTTACGACCATTTTTATATAGCTATGTGATGAAAATGTGACATGAAAATAACTGACATATTTTAAACATTCCCATAAACATTGTTTTCCAATATAAAAATTATGGTTTAACTACTATTGTTAATTGTTCTCACAAAGCAGGAGCATCAGATACCGTGCCAAAGCTGACCATACAGTCAAAGATTCCCTCTTCTGCAAAACTATTCAGCATATAGGGACCCTGTCTTCCTAGGCATCTAGCAACCCAGTTAACACAGTAGAGTCCACAGGATTCCTCCCCTTCAGTGGCATGAAGTTACAACATGTAAGCACATGGAGGCTGCTGTGTGAAAAGTGGTGTGACATTACTAGAAGCTGATAAGAGCTTGTTAAATCAGCCAGTCCTAGTACTCCAATACATCCTCCGTTCAACAGGGTTATCCTGTGTGGTGAGCAGTTTTCCAAACTGATTTTTTCTTTGCAGCAAGTCTGTCACTCTGCAGCCGTGTCCCACAGGATTCTCCATGTGGCTACTGTAATAATACATGAAACGGCCCAGTCAGTCTTTGCCTGCCCCCTCTCCGTTTCCAGGAAGGCTGGCAATTATTTTCTCACCACACGGGGATGCCTGGCAACAAAACAGCACTACAATAGCTACAAAAACCAACCAGGCTACTAGGCCAAGATCACTTGGTTATCTGTTCCTTTGCTTCCAGTAGCCTGTCACTCTCTCCATCAAGGTGACTTAAGAGTGGGTCTTCCCAGCCTCAACTTTCAATGTTATGTTTACAGCAGGAATAGTGTTTCTAAATTCGCAGCAGCAAATGGTGAATGGGGGGGGGGCAGGTATCTGCTGGTCGAGATGCACAGCTTTCTCTTGTGCATGCCATATTCCCAAGCACATCCCTCGGGGAATTCTCCCGTTCCAATCGCCTGATCCTAGCGCTACCCTCCAGTTCCCACCAGGTTTATTCGCATCCCGCCTCCGCCCCACGCTCTCCTTATCCCTATTCAGGTGGGCTGGCAGAGATGAACCACCCCGCTAACACCCATTAACCACCTCGGGGTTGACCAAATTGGGCAGGCTTCAACGCGCGCAACCCCCCCTCCCCGTCTGGGTAGATGGAGGCTGACGGGTAAGCGATTCCTGCCTTTGCCAAAGCAAGGTCCGCATCATTTGTGACGGCTCAGATAGGTATACCGGGGTAGGGGGAGGGAAGAGTATTCCGGATTTTTCCATCAGTCTGAAATCCAAGCGGCTGCTTCTCCCACCCCCTCGTCCCTCTCCGTATATACTCGGCGCTGTCCGCTTCCCACCCCCGAGCCACGCTCTCCCGGCCCCCTCACCATTTCTGCGCCGGGGACCCTCCGTCCTCAGTCTCTTGCTGCTGCTGTTGCTGTTGCTGCTCTTCAGGGGCGGGCCCCGACCAGCGACAGGAGCGAGCCGGGGCCCCCCAGCCCAGCTGCCACCCTCGACCTGGAAGTGAATTTGCCTCGGCGGAGCCGGCGGAAAAAAACGAAAGAAGAAACACCAGCAAACACCCACACAGCTCCCGCCTCCTTTAAAGGAGACGCGCTCCGGCACCCGGGAAGCCTTCCAACATGCCCGAGCAAAGATGGCATTGGTCGTGCAACGCTATCAGACAGGAGTTCCCATTGAATTCGGTGCCCCTTGCTCTTCCCGATAAATGGGTATAGGCTGGCAGCCCGCCTGAGTGATGGACAGTCCCCCCTGGGTTTCCGGGGCCAGAACAGATAACTGATAAAAGTGATGTCATTCAGTCAAATCATTCAAAATAAAGGGAGCCCCTAGGCCTGTACAGAGTAGTTCCCCTTACTACAGAGTAACCGCGAGACAGGGATCCTGACTTAGATAGTGAAGCTTCGAGGCAGATATAATCTCTGACACATTAAATATATATATGTTGTAAAATTTATAGGCCACTTTGTAAGAGGCTTACACGGAGAGTTTAAAACACCACACCACACGCAGCAAAACAGTAAGTATAAGACCAGAGTTTAGATGCAATCGCTGTTAGTAAAGAGTTTAAAGAAAATCAATAGCAGGAATGAGAATAAAACCATAAAATAACCTATTCTTTACCACTGAAGTACAGTAAAACAACCTCCAGGCAATAAATCCACTAGATTGGAGAAAAAACCAGCTCCCTCTTCTACTCACATATTTTGAAATTCATCATTCATACAAGGTGTTGGTGGGAATTCAAAAGCGGTATTATCATAATTATTTCAATTAACCAAAATGTCACAAATTTGTGAGGAAGCTTCTGAGTTCTCCAGCCATGTGAGAAACTGCCTCTGTATGGTCCTAAAAGCAGCTGCTATCAAAATTAGCATTCAATCTGAATTTCCTTATACATTTGCATGAGCATATTCAAGGTCCCCCGCTGCGCCGCGCCCATCCAAATATGCAAGTTTTGCACATCTTTGGTTTCCTTTTTGGGAACCTTACAGAATGTTTGATCTATTCATCATGACATTAAGGGCTCAATCAAAACCAGGGATTTCTCTTCCAACGCATATTTTAAAGCAGCATACCAAAGGTGGGGGTTTTTGTTGTACTGTACTAGTAACCGCTGTTTTGAATTGTCACTGTGTTCATCTTGATTTGAGCCTTGCACACAAAAAAAGAGACTGTTGCTATTCTACTCGTGCTTTTCAGGTAGGCTTGGAGTCCGTGAAAACAACCCATCTTGCTACAAGCTAGGGTTTTTTGGGGGGGCGGGATTTCTGTTTTACAGCGCGATCCTATACATGTTTACATGTTTCAGTGGAGCTTACACTAATATGTAAACATGCATGTGGCATTACTTTCCTGGGAGTAAGCACGCTGAGCACAATGAAATTTAATCCCCGGTAAATATGTGTAAGATTGCACTCTAACACAGCTGCTGCTCCTCTAAAACTTGTCACTGGGACGAGCAGTTTCAGCTATTTCCGTGTGAATGCCTATGTTTATAACTGCGCTGCGACTCAACAGGCTCCCACCAGCCTCTTCAACCCCTTCGCTTCCTCCAGAAGGGCAGAGCGGAAGTTGCCTGTGCCGTGTACGTCGCTGATTTTCTTCCGCCTGGTGCAGGGGGGCAAGATTTCCTGGGACGCTTTCACCTTGCAGGGAGAAGCGCAAGTACATGCTGTGCGTTTTCCTTCCTCCCCTTCCCTTGTCTGCAGAGAAATGGCTGGGCTGATCAACTTCGAGGATGAAGAGGAGGTGAAGGAGTACTTAGACAATCTGGGTGTGGAGTTCAGCTTCCAGTGCTATAAGGAGAAAGATCCTGACGGTAAGGTGGAGGTAGCCGCGTGGCCAACATTGTTTGGTCTACTACGACGTTTTCCCCAGCGTTGGACATGCAGGCTGCAGTCCTCTCTGTCCAGTTACCTGGGAGTAAGCCCCATTGAACTCGGCGAGATTTATTTCTGAGAAGACGTGCGTAGGTCTGCACAATTAATTCAGGGTATTTACTTTTGAATAAATGTGTTTGTTTTCTTGGGTGTGTCACATAAGCATAGGTTACATAAAGATAATGAAAGCAGGTCCCACATTTATTCTGCCACCTTGATTTATCTGTAACCTTGCAGCAGACTAAAAAAAATATGGGTATTTCATCCTCAGGTTTTTGTGTGGAAGCTTTACCATAGTATCTGCAGTACTGAAATTATGAGTAGCTTTCAAAACAAACAGTGGCTGCAAATTTAAGAAGCCTCAATCTGAAGCAGTGGTGAGAAAACCATTACCCTCTAGATTACTACAACGCCCATCTGTTCCAGCCATCAATATCTGGTTCCCCATCTTTGCTCTAAAAGAAGTTGAGCAGAGATCAACAGGCCTTTCAAATAGATTTAGGTAAAAGTTCTCTGGAGCTTATAAAGCAAAGGAAAGGACTACTGGGCAAATCAGTACTGTATTCTAATTTTGTTACCTGTGCACGCAGCCCCTTCGCTTCCTCCCTTTGCTGAGCAAGCAGTCAAAGTTCCCATAGTTGCCTGTTTCCACCAAACCAGGAAATTATGGTTACCAGCATTGGAACAAGCAAGGAACTTAAGCTAACTTTAAAGCATAGTTAACTCTCCCCATATTTTCTGAAGCTAGTAACCCATGTTTCCAGAATTCAGAAGAGACAGGAAACATGGCTAATTAGAGACTTCCTGGTTTGATTTTTTGCACCTCAAAGTGATGGTGTATGTGTGAATAAAGTTTTCATTCACATTTTGGCTTTAGAATTAGATCATCCAAATTGAGTCAGTAGGGATCAGTCCCTTTTTACTTTATATGTAAATATAGCATTAGGACCTATTAGTCAATCCCATTTCAGACTCGGAAGTCAGCCCATTTTATACCTTTCACTACATTACCAGGTAGCAGATGTTGGAGGCAATCAACACCCTGTCCTAACTGATAAAAACAAAATCAAACAAGGAAGAAACCAAAGATTGCAAGTGAAGCACAAAAATGGGGATGGCATGATCATACCTTAAGTTTCCTTCATTGTGAAACCACAGGTTGTCACCGTCTTGCTGAGTACCTAGAGGGAGTAAAGAAAAACTTTGAGGGAGCTGCTAAAGTACTAAAGGAGAATTGTGAAAAAAACCTGCACAGTGAGAGCTGCTACAAACTTGGAGCCTACTATGTTACTGGAAAAGGTAAGAAAGAACACCCCTCTCTACAACCCATTGTATCTCTATGTAAAAGGAAAAGCAATCCAAGTAAGGTTATTGAAAGCTTATGTAGTGCAGTGTAGTGGATGGTTTTTTTGCCTCAGCTCTCTTAGCTGCAGTATGGGAGTAGCACTGCACTTACTTTCAGGGATGTTATAAAGGACTCCTGCATTGCAGGGGGTTGGACTACTACATGATCCTTGTGGTCCCTTTCAATTCTATAATTCTGTGAAAAGAACTATGTATAGAACAAATCATTTTCTCCCTGCAGGTGGGCTCCCTGCAGATTTGAAAACTGCCTACAACTGTTTTTTGAAGTCTTGTGAGAAAGGTGGGAAGAAATCCATAGATGCTTGTCACAATACTGGACTGCTGGCACATGATGGACGGGGCAATGATGATGAGAAGCCCAACGCACTCCTAGCCAGGGATTATTACAGTAAAGCTTGTGATGGCGGTTTTGCCCCCAGCTGTTTCAATCTTAGTGCAATATATCTCCAAGGAGCCCCTGGGATACCAAAGGATATGAACCAGGCTTTGGAATACTCTCTGAAAGCGTGCGACTTGGGACACATATGGGCATGTGCCAACGCTAGCCGAATGTACAAGCTAGGGGACGGAGTTGAGAAGGATGATGCCAAGGCAGAAACCCTAAAGAATAGAGCAAAAGACCTGCACAAAGAACAGCAGGCAGCTACAAGATCCTTAACATTTGGAGAGTAAGCCCAGTTAAGTGAATTCTAGTTTTCTCAAGAAACATACTTTGTACAATAGTGCACAGACATTGGGTGGAATTGAGCATGGCAGTATTGCAACATTGCTGCTTGCCCGACAGAATGATTCCCCCTCTCCTCCCCCTGCCTGCTGTTCAGGGGGTTCTCCAAACACCTGCCGTGAGCCAATTTCGGGAGGCACTCAGCAGGAGGAAATGTATAAAATTTGATTCAAAAAACTTATTTGTGTGAATGGGTGTCTCTCTTTGCCTGTACAAATTATTGTTTTGTAAACACAATAAAAAACAATATTTTTAGGACATGGGTGATTTTTTGGGTAGCTCAGTTTTTATAGGAGAAAATGTATTTAAAACTATAACGTGAAAACTGCTGTAAACTAAACCATTGTTTCTAGAATGTAATTCTCAAATACATCAGGATTACATACACTGAGTTAACAGTCCAATGGGCTCTGTTGTTTCTAAATAAACTCTTTTCTTCAGCAAACCCCTTTATTTGTTTTCAGAAAGCAGAAATTGTATCTTTAGAAAAAGAAGAAACTGGCCAACTCCACTCATGTAATACTTTGCAGATGGGTAAAGGGGTGTGCTAATATGCTATTAAAGCCATCAATACCAAATGCATTAATTAGGAAGCACATTCCATTAATTTCAGTGGCACAACCTTTGAGGGGAATATGGTTTGAATAACTGTATTGAGTGATAATATAATTGAATATCTTATTTCTTGCTTACATGGGGATAAGTATGTGAAAGTTTATTTTTTTAACCATGCTGTTTCTAGGCAACTCCTATACTTACCATGCACTAATCTTTATTTTGTGATCTAAGTGTAGCAGATTAAATTACGGTATATTCAGCTGGGTTGTTGTTTTTTGCAAGTTATTTTATATAAGCAGTCTCCCATTTACTATTGCAAATGGGTGACTACTTATATAAATTATCGGGGGGGGGGACTTATAGAAGTTGCCAAAAGAAGGGACACTTATGATCATAATTCATTTTAAATTCAGGCCCAGTTCACATAATATTGAGCAACACACAAGCATGCAGTTCCAGGAATAAGCTTGTGATTTGTGTGCTCACAAATGCATCTGACACCTTGCCTACGTGAGGTCATGAGAATTACTACCAGCCCTAATGGTGATGGCGTGAGGAATATTCATGAAGACAAAACTGTTCACTAGTCCTCAAACTTCTACACATCACTTCAGAAAACATGAGAATCAAAATTGTTTCTGAATGCCATTCAGCTCTCTTGGCTTGTAAACTGTTTTCTATGGAGTTTGAGCGGTTAATCTGTATTCTTTCCTATTTCTGAAGGGTTCTTTAATAGCTGAATCCATGACTGATTGTGTAGGATCAGTTTGTGACATCAATCAGTGCACGGTTTATTACGTTAATTAACTTCTTCAGAATAATCTGCTACCTTTTTCTGTCACTAGGAGGCACTCTAGTTTTAAAATTCACATTACATTAACCTCTTGAGTCTCATATGTTTGTGTATAGGAAACACATTTTTATTTCCCTTCAGGGTGGTGATTTGAATTCTGAAATAACTGTGAGTGTAATTTGTAGGTTTGGGTCCAAATAACAGTTGTAACTGATAAAAGCAAAAAATAAAACATCTCCCAGGTTTCTCAGCATTATTTCTTACATGCCTTCCTTATAGCCTGCAGTCTTCTATCATGAGTGTGGATAGTATAATTACTCAAACATTCCTTAGTTCTATTAGTGTGCCTTATTTCCACATCATCCCACAGGTTTGACGTCTGCTGAGTACCTTCCTTTCATTGCTGCCTTGTGCTTGTTAAATGTTGAATTTCTTAGATAAATATTCAGTGTCCTGTATCTTAAAAATGATGATTTTATCAGCACCATCAGGAAGGAGCTCAGCTACTAACACTACAACTTTTATCCTATGCATCTTTATAACAATGGTATTAAATTCTTCATAAGCAAATCAAAAGAGGGATGAGAAGTTTTCAAAGTCAATAAGAAAATACACAAATTCCTCAGCACTCAGTTTTTTAATCTGTGCCATTCCTGATGGGATTTAAGAGTTGCAGATTTGTCTACTCTATTTGAATATAATTGTTCAACCTGATTAGAACCTGTATCTGTTTCTTGAAGCAAGGTATATACCCAGATGTTGCTTTGGAAACTTCTTCATTGTTTACCAGGACTTCAGTATTGCCTGTTTCGTTCGGAACAAAAGGAGTGACATAAACCATCAGTTCTAATTATTTGATGCAGATGACTTGGAACTAATAGGTGCGTTCCTTCCAAATGGAGAACGTGGTCAGCAAAGGAAAACATTTGTAGCTACTATGTAAGTGACTTCCAAACACTAGTAAATAGACATGCTCACCCAAATTAGAGGAAGCAAACCATCTTGTTTACTACAGTTATAGAATTTCTATAAAATGGAGGGGTACCAGTTCCTTTTTCGTGCCTAAAAGCTTGCATTGAAATCCTGTAAGGGTGCTTCACAGTGGAACTGGGTTTAATAAGCAACTCTTAAAAAAGGGGGGGGGTCTTCCCTCTGAAGACTTTGTCTCTACATCCCCTTTTGCTTCATAAATAGTGACTCAAATGTATGATCTGTTCCAGAACAAGATACTTTAATTCTTTATACTTTGAGTTTATTTTGGTTTGGTTTTATTTAGTGTCATTAATGCTCCTTGTGCTTCTCAGAGCATGAGCGGACAGCTTACAACCCCAAAGCTTACAGCCTAAATATTGATGCAGGGGAAACAACAGAAGTAGTAGTGGATGGAGGCAGGGGTATAAGCAGAAAAGAACATGCATTTATTTCTCTTACACATATTTAAATTTAGTTCCAGTAGGGTATGCAAGCAATTAATACTCATCAACGTTACTCTTCTGACAAAAGGCCTCGTTAAAAAAACCCCAAAACTCAACACCATTCTTAAGAGACAGTGGCTAAATTAAATTCTTTAGATTCCAGTTAAGGAAAGATCATCCACTGTCCCCATTGGGATGCAGAATCAATTTAGCTCTGATCTATTTGAGAATAGTCAATTAACTTTGAAGTAATAAGACGGATGTCCACAGTTGGATACCACTACCATTTATTGAGTTCACTGGCATTTTAAATAAATACTCTCTTTGGAATCAAACATGAGAAGTCGGTGAATTGAAATTTTGCCTTGATTATATCCATTGTAGCGTTTTACAAGGAAAACATGAAGACTGGTCTATCACACTGAAGGACAATATGAAAACTGGTAGATAGTAACAACAGATGGGAGCAAAGATCCTTTATCTGCTAACTGTTGAACTTTATTATACTTTTCCCCAAGTGGCACAAGTACCCCAAGTGGAATTGTTTTGGTTTTCTGTTGACATTGCATCATCTCCCTTTCACCACAGAATCTACAATGGTTACAAGGATGACCAGAGGTGGTGGGGATTAGGATATGTGGGTTAAATTCAGTGAAGTCGTTGCACTTGTGGAATGACTTCTGCTTACACATTAAAACTTCCCTTCCCTTTCTCCCACCACACTCCCACAGTGTTCCATTGTAATACGGGAATGTGAAATAATGAGAAACGAGGAGACAAGTTGCTGGCCACAGGTAGAATCAGGCTTCTAGAAGAACTTTTCAGGGCAGGAGAGCTGAGTAATTGCAAGCAGAGATTGCAAGGACATCAAAAGAGACTGAAGATGAGAGAAGGGGACACAATGGGATGAGGGCAACAGTTGGGGAGAGGTAGGAGAAGTAGTGATAAGGGAGAAGCAATGTGAGCCAGCTTGAAGGGTAATCAGCGTTGTTCAACTTTGGGTCCCCAGATGTTGCTGAACCACAACTCCCATCATTCCCAGCAGGCTTAGCCAGTGATCAGGGATGATGGGAACTGTGACCAAAACAGAGTATACAGATTGTACTGGTGAAGGAGAACTGACACCCAGTCTTGCCAACATCCCCCTTGCCAAGAGTCTTAGTGTCAAGAGAGGAGATAAAGTTGAAATTATTCTTCAGATTTGCCTCTGGAAAATCAAATCTTAAGAAACAGGTTGTATAAGGTGTATATTAAATATTCAAATCCTATGGGATTATTTAATAATTTTGGGGACACTAGGAATTATACATTATCATGGGCATGAGCTGAGGGCATACTTTTTTATATACAGTGGTACCTTGGGTTACATACGCTTCAGGTTACATACGCTTCAGGTTACAGACTCCGCTAACCCAGAAATAGTACCTCGGGTTAAGAACTTTGCTTCAGGATGAGAACAGAAATTGTGCTGTGGTGGCGCAGCGGCAGCAGGAGGCCCCATTAGCTAGAGTGGTGCTTCAGGTTAAGAACAGTTTCAGGTTAAAAGCGGACCTCCAGAATGAATTAAGTACTTAACCCGAGGTACCACTGTATTTGTCTAAACCTACTATGAAATACTTAATATGTATATTTCATTTATCTTTGAAGTGGTTAGATGATAGCATTTATTGAACTCTTTCTGAACTCACGGTAATGTTTTTTCGACCGTTCATAATAAGATGCAGCAAAATCAATGCAATTAGGACTTCTGAGAGGTTTACATTATTGGATTGAGCTATGAAAAGAAGCAGAGAACAACACTATTCACAATATGAAAGAACCTGCTCAAAAACAAGTAGTTGAAAATTAGCGTAACAATTTAGAAACATTCATTAGGGAAGATGTTGTACAGTACTCCTCTAACATAGGTGAGTATCATCAACCTTTTAGACCAGGGGTCCCCAAACTAAGGCCCACGGGCCGGATAATGCCCCAGGGACTCGTTTATCCAGCCGACGGCAACCCCTGCGGCCCGCTGCCGCCACCTGCTCTGCCCACTTCTGGGTCGGAGGAGCACCAGAAATAGCTTGTGCGCATTCACAAGCGTTATTTCCGGTGCACATCCAGGTCGGAGGAGGCCCGTGCACAAGCTATTTCCGGTGCTCCTCCAACCCGGAAATGCGCTGGAAATAGTGTGTGCGCACGCGTATGGGCATGCACTCCCCCACCCTCTGGCCCACCGCGCAATTGGTGCTGGAGACACCGGCCCGAGGCACAGTGGGTTTGCTGACCCCTGTTTTAGACCCAGGGCCCCACTTTTAACCCAAACATGCATTTTGGAACCCATTCCTTAATCTTTTACCACATATTTGCATGGTGTTAGTGCTTCTATTGCGACCAAGTTTGAATTGGGTTACCACCCTCTAGCGAGTCCTGACCCACCCGTTGAAGACAAGTGCTGTAATAGATGCAATGTCTGCAACAGGTTTTCTTAATCCTTGTGCAGATGGTGGATGGCTTGCTTCTGAAGTCTCATAACTGATGCTATTACTTTTTTCCATGCTGCCTTCAAAAAGACAAGTGTTTGGTCGTGCAATTTAAGTAACAGTGTAACCCTCTTACATGTCAACTCAGAAGCAAGCCCCATTTCTCCCAGGTAGAATTTTAATGGGAAACCTTGTTTGTATCCCTTTATTTAATGCAGAAATAATCTCATTTGGAATTTATACAGCACATTTTCCTAAGTGCTCGGAGCACTTCACGGCTGCTATTGCAGTAATCTTTTCTTTTTTTAAAACTGTGTTATTATGAACATTCGCATCACAGATGCAGGGCTGAAGCTCAGTGATAATGGCCTGCCTAAGGCTACCAAGCACATTTGTGACGGAGGTGACATCTGTACCAGAAACTTGGTACTTATGCACTGAACCAGTTTGCACTAGTTATGATACTGAGAAGCCCCATGGGGGTGGGGGCAGAAGAACTGCAGTATGTTGAATATAGTGTATTTATAACAATTATTATTAAATATACCAATGTGATATAAGATGTGCAAATAGAACCTGCAACAAAATGTTGCAGTGTTGAGTGCTCTTGTCTAGTGTGCCACCCACCCACCCACCCATACCTTCCTCCAGGATATTCCATTCCCCCCTCCTTTTTTTCTTTTTTGCACTCCCAACTGACAGCGTCCTGTGCCCATTGTGCAAGCTCAGTCTCATTGAAGTAGGTTGGGAGGGGGATTTTCCTGAATATTTGTTGTGCTTCTGCAAACAGGATTCCCCCAAGACTGCTGATACAGCCCTCCTGTATATGGATGCTGCCATTTTGGTGTCAATAAGCAACAGGGTTCACCATTTAATGCTGGAAATGTAAGGAAGAATAATGAAACAAGATACAAAGCTATTGCAGTTTACAAAGCTATTAGCAATATGGGGGGAGGTCCATATCTCAGTAGTAGAGCATCTGTTTTGCTTGCAGAAGGCCCCACATTCAATTCCTGACATTTCCAGGGAGGGCTGGGAGAGAACTGCTGCCTGCCAGGGGAGACCATACTGAGCTATATGGATGCACGGTTTGGCTGTATTTAGCAGCTTCCTATCATATGTATGATAAACACACAGAGAGAAAAATGCATTTCTGTTAATGTCCTAATTGTGTTTCCCCCATTTAACAGATTTTTAGTCTCCTTGACAAGTAGTCAAGCAGATAGGCTAGTACAGCATATGCTTTTTTTTATCATAAGAGAAAATGAACAACTAACATCCATCCACATTGCACTAGGATAAAATGTAATCAATAGTGTGGTAACTTAAGCTGTTATTAGAAACCCCACAGTGAGAATCTCTTTC